TATCTGCACCATCTCCACAGTAACATGCTAAATGAGCCTTCTAGATACAAGTCGAAGTTTGAAAATGGCTTAAATGTCAATTTAGGCCCTCAACTTTAAAATTTTGTACACTTTTTTGTCATTTAACTTTTTATATACTTTTTTATCCTCAATTATTAAAAAAATATATTTTTTAATTTTTTATCAAGGTTAAATGGTAAATTTGGTCCCTCAACTTTAGTGAGTTGCACATTTTTGGTCCCTCAATAATTTTTTGCACTTTTTTGATCCCTCAACTCTAAGAAATGCGTACGTTAGTCCTTCTGTTAATTTCAACCGTTAACTTCGTTACGTGGTATTTTTTATATTTTGTTTGATGACATGGCAAAAATAACTTTAAAAAGTGTTGATCTAGATTTTTTTTGATGACGTGGCAACGCCACCTCATAAACTAAATTTGCCTTAATAAAAAAATTAAAAAATTATAAATTTACCTTAATACCCCTGTCTCCTTTCTTGATACATCTTCTTGCCCTCTTTCGATCCATCTTCTTCCTTTCTTTTTTCTTTTTCTTTCTTTCTTTCTCTTCTTCCTCTTCTTCCACCAAACCCAGCAAACTGGGTTCCGTGGAACCCAAATCTGCTGGGTTCAAGGAACCCAGCAACTAGGTTCAAGGAACCCAGCAACTAGGTTCCACCGAACCCAGCTCGGGTTCGATTCTTCTACTTCACAGGCTGATGAAAAAACCTTCATTGTCATGGTTCAGTAGGATGCCAAACCCTTAAGATTGAGCTTTTTGATTCAGTAGGATGTCATGAAAAAACCTTCAAGGAATCTGATTTTGGGTCCAATCTTGTGATTGAGCTTTTTGATACCGAGATATGGCTTGAGTGGCAGAGTTTTAATGACCGGGATTTGGGTTCGATTCCTGCAAAATGGAAAGGGCAATGCGCGACGACGAAGGATTTTGGATCGAGTTCATGTAATAAGAAGCTTATTGGAGCGAGATTCTTCTACAATGGGTAAGAGGCAACGAACGGGAAGATGAATGAAACCTCGGAGTACAAGTCGCCAAGAGATTGGTGATGTGGGGCCCATTTGAATAGATTTGTCTTTTTTCAGTGACAGTAACATTACGTGGCAAAACATTTTATCCATATCATCACTTTTTCAAATTTTACCCTCCACATCATCAAAAAAAATATAAAAAATGCCACGTGGGCGGAGTTAATGGTCCAAATTAACAGAAGGACTAACAGTGTGCATTTCTTAGAGTTGCGGGATCAAAAAAGTGCAAAAAATTGTTGAGGGGTCAAAAATGTGCATTTCTTAAAGTTAAGGGACCAAATTTAATATTTAACCTTTTATCAATTAATTTATTAAATTTATTTTTATATATTTTTAATTCTTAAACTTTAAAAAAATGAAATCCCATTTCTTCATCATTGTTGGAGCTCTTTCTTGATGAAGCTTGTGGCTGTTGAACCATTTCCATGCGAGAACCCATTGCCGCCAACTGTTTTCATGCCACCTCTTTCTCCAATCTATCGTCAATATGTCCCATGACCTCTTAATCAATAAACAAATCGAAACCCAAATTGTTGTATCCATCTCTTACACCTTAGTATCTACAAAGTCAATGGCTTGACATCAGTCATTATCTTTGATTGTCAAATCCTGAAGTTCACTTCCAAAATCGCCGCCCGATGTTCCCAATCCCTTCCACCATATTGTTTAGCCTCTCAAATTTGACAATCGTGCCGCTTATATGGATGACGAGGTCAAGGCTAAACACGCTGACTTTATTTTCAAAAAATAAGTTTAAAAAATATTTTTCTCGTTTTCTTATGTTTGGTACGCATAAGAAAATATGGTCGATGGAAAATCATTTCTGTCAACTGAAAACCATATCGTATATTTCTCGGAAAACAACTTCCAAATTTTTTATTCCGGGAGTCATTTTCCACAAAAACACGCGAAGCTTGTCAGCCCTTTCTTTGACCCGACTCTTCGCCGACTGATGATCTTTCTCACGTTATCTATTCTTTAGCCAAGGCAGCAGATGCATTATTCAAGCAATTTCGAACATAGGAAAGCAAAAGGAGTTCATCAATCACTGAAGTCAACAAAAACTTTGCCGTGGGCATTCTCAAATTGAAAATTCCCCTCTAAGCAATCAATACATGATTTTCAAACAAATTAGATCCACAC